AGTACACATTGCGTTCGTTGCTGGCATCAGATGAAAATCATGAATTACATTCTCAGTCAGCCTACTCTCATGCCCAAACGTGTAAAGCTAATTCCTTCAAGATCCATGACACGAATTGCACGCGGCATACAGAGGCTCGTTACTTCACGTTTCCTTAGATCAGCCGAGAAACTCGTTACCGTTTACCAGCAAACTTCGCGCCGAAGTGCGAGTACTCCGGGACCCAGAGTCCTTCGGAGTCGTTCCAGCCGGCAAGCCAAGGTATACAAGGTGCACACCCAAGACACCGAATCGTAAAGAAACCTATGGCCACAGAGAAAACCATCGTAACTCTCTACCACGGTTTCCTGATACTCATTCCGTCCACGTTCGTTTAATTCCACAGACCTCGTATTTTCATTTGCAGTGCATAAAGTCGTCGCTGGCCCGAGGCTAGCACCGAGCGAACGGTGTTAATTTAATTATCCGTCCACCAGCTGTCGGACCATTAAAATCGAAACGGAGTGGGGAAAAAGGGAACGGGAGGACAAAATGAAGGAAAAACTGGTGATCCTTAACGATCGAAATTTCACGCGAGCCGCTCGAGTGACGATGAAAATCGCACCTCGTAAATCTCTCGTCGCGCGAGGGAAAAAGGAAAACGGAAAACCTGGAGAAAAAAGGAAAATGCGCAGATGTAGAATGTAAATTAACATTGCAGTGGGAAGAAAGAGAAAAATAAGGCAAGAGAGGCCGGTGAAGTGCTACGCACCAGTTTTTATGGCGGACGGAGAAACAGCTGGACCGTACAGGCGAAAGCCCATTCCATCTCGAAACCGAAATCCCTCCCTGTGCACCGACTTTTCTTAAACATTTTTGTTCTTCCAACGAAACACCTCTCCGGGGAGTCGTCCAATTTTTCCACGAATTCTCGCCCGTATTTCTGGTAATCTCGTTCAGGTAAACCCATCCGATACAGGCGACGCATGGTGTGCGTTTGAGATTGGTTATTGGCTCTAGCACCTTTTACTTCTTGGAAGAGAATTGACATCGTAGGTCAGTACGGGAACAGATCGTTTTCTAGAAAAAAATATACGAAAAATTAGGATAGCGAGAATCTTAAAACCCCTTTAACCATTTGCGCTGGAAAGACGTGCCACTCGCGTTGTCGTGCTTTTGTCGCAGAATCGCTAACGACGTGGTGTACACGTCGTCAGGCAATTGTCATAGAAACACTGGACCGTTATGGTACACGCGTCTGTGAATTTCTTGCCAGCTCAAGTGGTTAAAACGAGTTAATCACATAATTTAGATATCGTATCTAATTAACAGAAATCACAGGTTACTTTTGCATGGGTTCCATCTGCTCCAGTTTGTCAATGATTCGATGAGATCTTGTGGAACGTGTTAATTCTTGATTTAAGAATTAACACTGTAGGTCGGTGCAGGAATAAATCGTCTTCTAGAAAAAGATATACGAAAAATTAGGGTAGCGAGAATCTTAAAATCCCTTTAACGAGTTAATCGCATAATTTAGATATCGTATCTACTTAACGGATATATCACAGGTTACTTTTACATGGGTTCCATCGGCTCCAGTTTGTCAATAATTCGATGAGATCTTATGGGACCTGTTAGTTCTTGATTTAAGTACAGTGGTCAGAAGAAGAACGGGAAAAGTATTCCTTTTTACCATTTTGGGAGGTAACGTGTACTGCGCTGATAATGCGTAACGATATCCATAATGGAAGACGAATACAGCCCTGAAACCTGTGTGGGACATGTCGCCCATGGGTTTACAGAATCAGTCTAATAGAAATCGGCCGAATAAACGCATTTGGAAGCAGAGAGCAACGATCAGTCGGTCGCCACTGTACTGACGTAACTGCGAATTAATTCAGTTCAAGCAACAGGCTCGTGCCAGCGTTGCCATGAGAAAGTTAAGTGACCTGTATCAAGTACCTTTTCTCTCCACGAAACACTTCGAAAAATTGCTCGAAAAATTTTTCCCTCGCCGTTCAACCTCCTGCACCTGAAATTTGTAATTTAAACTTCATTATATTTCGCGTAGCTTCGAGTGTCATGGTTCAAACTTTAATCGTAATTTGAAGTTAGAAGATTAAAAATTACAGCGATTACGTTATTTTTAATACTCTACGTCTCGGTATAGTGTCCAAGCTATACAGATATATCGCGAGACCAAATGTAAAGTGGTATTCTAGTTTTCTAGGAAGTTGAAAATATTTGAAATTTGTAATTAATGGCGATATTAATTTGCGTAAAGGTAAGATGCTTTGTACAATGACTTTTCCCATGTGTCAGAAATCATCTGGAGAATGATCCGGACTAGAATCCCCTACGGAATTATTCACCGAGAGTAAATGACGATTAAAGGGAATGAAAGAAAAGCTTGCTTTCGTCGGTTCGAACTGGTCATGAGACGCAATTGGTTCGAAAGGAACAGACGGCACTCACGGGACAAGAAAGTATCTCTTTTACGACGACAGCTGCCAGCACTCACGATTTCTCGAAGCAGACGTATCGCTTGTATTTAGCGTCGATCCTAGCAGCCGTTCGGGAACTTCGAGGGTCCTCTGGGAAGTCGAGTTTCATGAGAATTCTTCAGAGAAATTTTAACAAGTATTTCCTCCTTGTGATACAAATAAATTCTTCAGCTGCTCTCAAGTTCCCCGCAATTTTCCTGAAATTGTCACGAGATTCTGTCACAATTAAGCAACCTCCTTCCTCCTTCCATTTCCTCTCTTTTAACACTACTCAACTCGGCGTTTATTTATACCGACGATGTCGAAATCCAACGTCCAGAAACGTGTAATCCGTAAAATTTACAGGTACTGGCGCATACCTTATTTACAAATCTTGTAATATTCTTGCTTCTCCTTTCTCGATGGGTTATGTGAAACTCTTATAAAAATTCTGTCCAACTTTGTCCGTCCAACCTGGAATGTAATTAAATCGGACATTATTGCACGAATCGCGTAATAAAATTAACGTTTTGCAATAATCCAGTGAGATATAGGAAAATTTAGTGGAATGAAAACGCGTATAATTATTGCGGAGGCACCCAAATATTAGCGGACTCACCGACATCTTACGTTCAACTTCTTCCATCCAGCCTGCAATGTAATTAAATTTGACATTATTGTACGTATCACGTAATGAAATTAACGTCTTGCAATAATTCAGTGAGATATAGGAAAATTTAGTGGAATGAAAACGCGTATAATTATTGTGGGGGCGCCCGAATATTGGCGGGCTCACCGACATCTCACACAGGTTAGAGGGCCGGTTGCCATGGCGGTTCACTTTTCGCTATGATTCCCTGTAGACAAGGAACCACAGGTAGTCACGACATGTTACGCCAGACACCGAGGAAGCGTCGACGTGGAAAGGAAAAACGAAAAAGAACGAAAAGCATAATAGAGTTTACATGACACTCCTCGCGTGCTCTGGGGCGAGTGAGACTCAGGGACGTTTTTTTAAGGGGGTCAAGGGGACCCTGCGCCCCGGGGCCGTCCTTATTAACGCTGACCTCTCTTTCTTTCTCTAGTTCGAAATCGAGATTCCCAAAATTTCTTACGAAAAAACATATTACCCATACGCGCAAACTCGTTTCCATTGAAAGAAATCGTCCTTACCTTCATTTTTCCGCCGTACGCTCGCCCCCTCTCTAATTCGTTGGTCTAAGGTTATGCGTACATCGTATCGAACGGATCACAGAAGCAGAGATCCGTTCTCGAGATGGCCGACGCTCTGAGAAAGCTATTCGAGGCGTGACACTAATTTATGGACACGTTAGCAGCAACGCGTATCAGCCAGCGAGATCCGCGCAACCTTAAACTTGCATCCGTGCGTATGATTGCATAAAACTGTTGTGTTCGCCGGAGTCACGAATGCCGTTAATGAAATGTTATTGGTGACGTGATAAATGCTGTGTTTTCCTATTGTTAATACGAATCAAACGATCGGGTTCGACGCAGTGTTTCGATGATTCAATCGCGAAGTATAACCTGTCGATTAGTAACGTTACGAAACGACGACTAAGCTAGGTTAGGATCTCGGTTACGAAAGTGAATCGATGGTTGAAAAATATTACCATTTTACGCACTTCGGGATATTCAATTACGTACGTAGGTTAGCCTATTAGTGCGTTTTTTTAATTATAAGGTGACCTCTGTGTTATATTAGTTCACGAATACGGTATTCTCTTCGCAATGTCACGACCGTCGTGCGTGATTCCGGCACGACGTCACGGTCCCATTGACGCCGACCACAGCCACCTTAAACACCCATAAAACATTTTCGTGACCTCTTTTTCGTGTAATTCGACGAACAGAGGCTTGTTCTCCATTTCCGGTGACATGAAAGCACCGATATACTCGGCACGCTCGAAAAAACCTTTCACACGTTCCGGCGATATATTGTGTATACCGCTGAATTCGTAAACGATACCGCGGGTTTCATTACTGATTTGAATGCTCTGGGTATACACGGGATCGAGAGCGGCATGAATAATTCCATCGTATCATTTCGTCGTCTCCAGTGCTCTGCCGAAAATGCGTAAATACTAGACAAATTATATCATACACGGTTATAAGCATAGCGTACACATTGGTACGTATTGCCAGAGAATGGAAATATCAGAAGCATCATCGGGAGTATTTCTGCGTGGCTGAATAAAGAGCGTGACTCCGGAGAAGACGTGTGTGAACTAACAGAAGAAACCTTTCGAGGGTATGTTACGTATGATAGCATAGTTCATATAATTTCGTAGCAGCATGCCAGAAAACGTGCATTCCCGAAGAGGAGTTTCCTGTAGGAGGGAGCCTTGGGTACCCGGCGGTGAACCATCGCTCTAGCACGACACGAGGTCGCGGAAAGGCACGAGCGCGAACGAAGTGGGCACGAATATGGCCGAAGCGTAACGAAAGCGTACGAGGCCGTGGCCACAGGGGTGGGGACTGGCGGACGCTCAGTAGCCGAGCTCAGTCGAGCCAGCGCCGTGTTCGGAGTTGGAATAGTGACTGGCGAACTGTGTTCCGAGCAGGCGTAACCGCTCTCGGCGTTGTAGTCGCTCCTTAATCACGCGCACACGAATTAATTTGGTCGGCTGGCAGACCGAGGTCGAATATTCGAATCAGTCGTCCCGTTTTTCTCTCGTGTTTAATCGTGGGCTCGTCGTATTCTTCGCACTCCTCTGTTGTTCTGCGTCGTACACGTTCGTCAATTTACAGTTTGTCGCTGCTTGTTAACCGTCCCCGCCGTGATTGACTGTCGCGAAGGCCTTCTTTTCCGGAGCCGCCACAGACACGGCAGTGAAAATGCGGTAGTGACAGTGGTATACCAGAGACAGGGAGAAAAAGGGAATCCCTGACTGCGTTTGTAGGCGCGAGGACGCCACGAGTTTACTCGAGAAAATCGAAGTGAACGAAATTAGGGGAGAGGCTCCTTGAAGCCAGGGCCAGAAGTTATGACGAGCTCGTGTGTTCGAGGACGAGGAATTTACGCGCATGTGTCCAGTGGGATTTAGTGTTGGAGATAAAGCATTTTTTCCAGATCTGGATACCTTGCTCTCGACACCTACGGGACCTGAATTATCTCATGTCAGGATGGCGCTGGCGCGGTACGTACTTTCCACTCAACACTCGAACCTCGTCGTCATTGCGTTTAGGGTGGGTCTTTGCTGGAACGTATTTGTTTTTCTTCTTTCGTTCCCAATGTTATTAAGTGCCTTTATTGATCCAATACGACATTCGATATAGCCAAGCATATCGACCTTAAAACACGCTTTGTCTCGGTTATTAACGACAATATTTTATATAATCGCCTTCTGAGAAACGTTTAACTATATATTTCACGAGAAAAGTGCTTTCCACCAAGATACCGGTGTCCCTTTGTTTTGAAGTATTCTGCCGCAGATGCCGGTATCTGCCATAGAGTGCGCTCTGGTCAACGACTCATCCCTACCATAACTATAGTCAACTGATTTAACAGATTTATACGCTCTCGGTGTATTTACATAGCTGTCGTATGTTCTTTCGACGTGATGCGTACGATGCCGTGAGTCGTTATTAGTTTGAAAGTTCTTGGTCAAGTCGCTTGCACGGCGAAGGAAAGACGTCAAGGTTAGTACACCTTTTTACGTTAAGTCGACCTTCCGAGTACGATGCGGGCTCCGTCACGGTTCGACAATCTGCTTTTATACTGAAACGTTTGACCGTGAATATGAGTCGATGGAATTCAAACGTAGAAACATTAACAGCGACCTTATCTTCCGGTCGCTCTCTCTCTCTTTCTTTGCCTTTGTGTTCTGAAAATTCTTCGATCGCCGAACGGTGTCACTACGCGCGCGTTTACATGTGCCTCTGCGTAACGTACACGCATGCATATAGGTTAGAGTAACAGTTTTTCCACGTTGAAATCAAATCTCGCCTTGGTGCCATCTACTGTCCATCGCGAATAAACTAAAGTCCATCGTAAATATTATTATCCGACACAGTTGTAAATGCGTTATAGCCGTTTTATATATATTACTTTCTCTGTCAAAGCTTTTTATCAGCGCGATAGAACACGCAGCGTGGCAGTAAACAGCCTTCGCCGCACATACTTGTGCTCGCGTACGATCGAATCGTGACAGAACTGGCAATGAAGCTTTCTACCGACCCGTCGTCGTGCTCGTATGCCTTCGTGAGCACAACATCGCCTTGTGTTCTAAACCGTCGACGGTTAGAATTTATTTCTTTGTGGTCGAACGTTCGTTTATCTCGCGGACGCAACGTTGAAGGCCTCCATTGTGATATTTCGTTCGGCTCGGTCGGTAGGGTGGGGGAACTAGTGTCGGGGCGCACCAAACGTCTAGTAATTGAATGTAGCGAATTAAACAATGGTCGAGAATCGTACGGGTCGGCAAATGGGCGTACCACTAGTAGAGTTTCACCGATAGACCTCTTCTTCATGGGGACTATTACTCATTACACTTCCTGCCCGGCAGAACGCTATCGGCCAAAGTGGTGAATCACGAAGCTATAAAGAGATCTTCGACTTTATAATTACAATTTAATGAATGCGGCCACGATGATTGTGTGGGACCTCACCTGCTGCTAACCTTGGCATTGTGGAACTGAACTTTTGCGCGAACTTCTATTTACAACGAATCTCTGTAACGTGTTCAGTTGTTTCTTATAATTAGGTACCTTTTAATGATTGGTAGGGCGAAACTTTTTCGCTTTATACTGGAGCGGTCTGTGTAACGTTTAACTGAGTTTCGGTGAGTAAGATTTTCTGGAAATTTAAATTTCGATACTTTTTTTTATGGAACTTTTTATTTTTATTCTTAGGATTTTCATTTTTTCTTTTTATCTCGCGTGTTGATTAACATTCGGAGACTTTGTATATTTTTAGAGATTCTTTCTGTCTTTCTTTCTTCGCGTTGATAAATTCTCGAAAAATTCGAGATGTTACGCGTGTTTCTTCAAAGTTCGATAAATATTTCAATATATGCTTCGAAAATATTTCATCCGTGTTTTTCTCTCTCTTTTTTTAGCCTTGTTCAGTGGCGAACCTAGGATCTTTAACCCCTTGGAATTTTATCGTTAAAATTTTTTTTTAATTTTTCGATTTTAAAGTATAGGTTTCATTCGTTGTATCATTTGTCATAAATTCCATTTAATAGTATCATCTCCCTAAAATTTTGAAATTTGAATTTGAATTGTTCGTTGTTCGAATTTAAATATTTTTTTGTTATTAATTGAAATATTTAGACTAAAATTTGAACTTACTTGAATTCCTAGTTTGAAATTTCGATTTTTGCGTCATAGCCAACGATCGACCCTCTCTTTCTAACAAAATTGAAATCGAAGTAGCTCGCAGTGAAACCGCTAAAACCACATAGAAAGTTTACACTACAATAACTTCCCCGAAACTATCTGACTTCCATACATATGTGAAAGTCTCGCATTTAAACGAATTTTTGAATGTAATCCCTCTCTTTTCAATTATCTTTAACAGTACCCATTTTACGACTTCGCCATATTGGAAAGACTACGTTAATGTAAGTGCCTTCCGTATTTTGTTTTAAACGCGTTATTATCATAATAACGTTTCATTAAATGGAAGTATACTTGACTAGTGTAGTACTTAAAGAATTAACCCTTGGACGTAGACATTTTTCTACCGACAGTCGGTAACTGAAGAAAGATGGTTAATTTATCCTTATTAGTTTATTTACTCTTCCTGATTTATTTATGAAATTGTTATTAATTTCCCTTTCTGTAGAAAGATTACATTTATAGTAGCTCAATTGTCTTTTTTTTTTATCAGGTTTTATCAGAGAGAATTAATATTTTATCCAACGATAAAAATCAGTTCGCTTTAACATCAAAGTAATGAACAATATTAGAAAGTAAAACGTGTCGAAAATATTGAAAAGAAATTTTCTTTTTCTTTTTACAGATAGAAAATGAAAAGTTTCGTAGCAAAAATTTTCATTTATTTCCCTCTTACGTAAGACAACATTCCGTTATAAATGATGAAATATTATTAATGTTATAGCAAATAAATACATCTGCATTAAGCGTAGATCTGCCGTCTTACACACCGTATACATTGATTATTTCAACAGCCAAAGTAAACACATCGCTAACAAGGAATTCCCGTCCGTGTGAGACACGAATATACACATTTCGCACAGTTGCCCGCGCGAGGCACGAGATCGCACGGTAAAGCGGTTAAAACTCGACCGAACGTTAGCAATTTTTCAAACCAGCGACCAAACGATCTCTCCGTGTTTACCGCAGTTCGATAAACGTTTCTCGTGGGATCGCTCGGATTAACGCGTCGCTGTATCACAGACAGAGAATTGGCTTCGACCGACATCTGTCCTACGCGAGGAACGCCATTGCCGTGAGTCGATCAATTCTCATTGCAAAGCGTTTAACGTAATTTCCCCCGACACTGATTGATCGTGGAACGACAGTCGATTCGCTTTGAGTTATGTTAATGATTCGAAATTGCCTTTCGCGCAGCGAGTGTCCTCCGCTAGGGGCGCACTCGTCTTGCGAATTAATCGATTCTAATACGTGATTGGTTAATCGTTTGGGCAGCGTTATGCTGGAAAAATCTAGTCGACTCGTGAGAAATGAGTTCAAAGTTTGACGGTTGTAACTGAATCTGAATCATTGTGTTGTGGACAGATATGATACAATACAAATCTTTGTGTATTATTCGGGCAAGATATATATACGAAATTCGACCGCTAGCCAGCGTCGTTTCACATTAAGATTTCGGTTATCGTTAGCAAAGCAAGGTTATGTACGTTACGTGACACGAGTCCCGTTTAATTTCCACGCGTTTAAAACGACGAAATGACACGAGGACCGGCTATAAAGCTAAGGTATTCACGCCGGTATAAAACTTTTAGCATAACGTGCGCTCGCGCGAGTCGATTGTCGCGTTAGATGAATCGGAAAAGCTCTTCGACCTTGCGTTGCGACGTTATCGCGTTTGCGTCACAATATTTTCTCGCTACCCAACACAATTAAGAGGCAGAAATCGCTTTGAATGTCGGTGTTCTTTGTCCCCTCGCGTAGGCACAGCTGTTCCATTATCGTTGTCTCTGTCGACATCTAAAATACCCTTGCTCGTGCACGTATTTTATAGTATGTGTTCTTTTTCTTTCGAGCTTTCTGGGTGTTGTAACACGTATCAGTCAGTCGGCACAGTGATATCCTGAAATAAAGCACCTGTTCCTCCGTTATCGTATCGATCTTCCCCTACGATATCTCGCACCCCTAGAACTCTCCTCTTGATACCTAGTATTTCGTGATTATTCTTTTTTTTTTTCTTATGGTATAATTTTTCTTTTCTTTTCTCTTTCGTTTTCATTTTATATGTGGTTTAAATTTCGATTTGATTTTTTTAAATCTTTTTTCTTTGTTTTATAATTTTTTAATTTTTGTGCAGGTTATTGCTTAGTGACCTGTGGGGTTATTTTTAGGCAAGGACATTTAGATTTTTAGAATTCGTCGAGGTTAATCCAAAGTCTCAGAGTAACAGTAATGAATAAATCTCTTTACTTTAAAGAAATTAATGCCAGAGTGTAGTTCAACATTTTTTGTATGCTTTTAAATATTATATACGTTATTACGTATATTCCTAAAAACATAAAGATCTATAAAAATAGATTCTCTAAATAAATACGTATTATATATTACGTGCAGTTTATTACATTTACCTGACAGGAAAACAAATGTTCACGATATGCATAATAAAAGAATTTTTAACAACCACTTTTTCACTGAGCTCCTCAATTAAAATGAATGATGTATGAAAATTATCAGTTCTTTGTAATACTCTGACAAAGATTACAATTACAGATATAAACGTTTTCTAATCGTCAGCGACTGGTTTTTAAATGTCCTTTTAACGACCTATTCTTAATTATTGATTCCATTCGTTGGTATAAATTATCACCTTCGATTCCTCTTCCGCCTTTTCTCCTTCCATCGACATCAGAAAACTCTCGAAATATCCTAGTTCCAAGGTAATGAATTTCCCCAAAATAGAACGTTGTTTCTCCGAAATCGTATCGATCTTCCGCGTTCTCTGCATCTTCTTAACGTCTAT